TTTTAAAAATAAAATAAGCATACATTTAAAAAAATTAAAAGAAATACTGCCTTTTTTAAAAAAAAACTAGTTTTAATGGAGTAAATTTGAAAACCCTAGTTGTTTACTACTTAAAAGAAATAGAATGAAAATATTAGAAGAGAAATTTGGGGAAGTATTAATTGTCAAGGGAAGTAGATATTTTTAAGTTATACTGATTTACTGAAAATAAATCATTTAAAATAATTTTACAAGACAAATATATGAGTAACTATATGAGATAATGGAAATTAATTAATTTCTTCTTTTTCTCTTACTATCTATATATTCCATATACCATGTTTTATAAATGAAATATATAGAATAGAATTTATTTTAAGATAATAAGTGGTGAGTTCTTATGTTGTAGGAAAGTTATAACTGCTGAAAGTCAGCAAGAACTATTATAACATTCACAGTTCCCAGCTTCAGCTCTGTTCCTAATGCTTCCTTGTAATCCCGCTACCTTGTTCTGTGATTCCCCTCATTCTATTTATTGGCTACTAGACACATTGCATACTGTCTTTGAACTTCTGAAAATACTTCTATAAAACCCTGATGAATTATTCATGAATGTCAACATATTGTTCATCTTCAGAATAACTATTGTCTCCTTAGACTTCAAGTGAAAACTTATCTAGAAATACTACGGAATCAAAAGAAAGCAATACTCACGAAGGATCATTAATGACTGTCTTCAAGGCATTGAGGAAATCTGTACTTGACATTGTTTTCCAGTCCAGTCTAACAGCTGCTCCCTTGGCTGCCATGTAGGCAATGTTATCAGGTTGCTCTGAGAACAAGGGAAGCCCCACCATAGGGATTCCATGGTAAATCGCCTCATAGATGCCATTGGATCCACCATGCGTTATAAAAGCTTTGGTTTTGGGATGACCTAGAATTAAGCGATTTTCAGTAAAATTATTAATGGAAAGTCCTAGAAATGAAATGAGAAATTTATAGCATGAGCCACTAACAGAGTCAGAGCTGTCTAGAAAATTTAATAGCCATGTAACTGTATTTAAATTCCTTTCAGGTCAAGAGGAAGAGACATCTAAGTCCCCTGCAGAGGTAGGTGAAGGCTACATGGAAGAGGTGGTGTATAAAATAGAAATTTGAACAGTGAATGCAAGATTCACAAGTGGAAAAAAGATAGTGTATTCTGGATAAAAGAAATTTGCATATGCCAGAAAAAAATTAAAAATGGCCAAGTGCATGTTAAAACATTTTCTCTGAATGAAGTGGTGCATCCACTGAGTATTGCATGGAGGATATATAAGGCAACAGAGGATGGCATGATCATGGTGCTGGAAGCAGAAGGAGGAGAGGGGCCAGCGCTGTGGCGTAGTGGGTGAAAGCACTAGCCCGAAACACCGGCATCCCATATGGGTTCCAGTTCGAGTCCCAGCTGCTCCTCTTCCAATCCAGCTCTCTGCTATAGCCTGAGAAAGCAGTAGAAGATTGCCCAAGTCCTTGGGCCCCTGCATTCGGATTAAACTCCTGGTTCCTGACTTCGGCTCAGCTCAGCTCCAGCCACTGGGGCCATCTGAGGAGTGAACCAGTGGATGGAGGACCTCTCTCTCTCTCTCTGTGTCTCTACCTCACTCTGTAATTCTTTCAAATAATTTTTTTTAAAAAAACAGGAGAGGCCAACCTTCCTCTTAAAATTTATTATCATTTTATGATAGATATCATAGGTTTTTCCCTTAGAAAATATGATTTCAGTCATAATGGGTGACAGATCATTTTTGGTGGCATTCAAAAAGCATACTAGGAGAAAGGACAGATGTAATAACTGAAATAGGACACAGGGAGACAACCCAAGAGATTATTCTTACTGTTACTTTTTAAAGTTTACCTATTTTACTGAGAGAGATTTTTGAAATTTTCCATCTGCTGGTTTACTATCTAAGTGCCTACAACCACTGGGGTTGGGACATGATCTAGGAATCCAGTCTGGGTTTCCCATGTGGCAACAGCAATTTAAAGACTTGAAGCATCACATACTACCTCCCAATGTATACATGAACAGGAAGGTGTAGTTGTAAGTGGATCAGGCACTTGAACCTAGGCAGTCCAATGTGGGATGCTGGTATCACAAGAAGCATCTTAACAGCTGTGCCAAATTCCCTTCCCACAGGAATTATTGAGAAATCTCAGTAAGAGGTAACTATAGTCAACATAAGTATACTTTGATTCTACACAGTAAGAATTTGATTATGTATGATAAAAAGCCAAGAGTTTACTTCATTATATTTTCCCTAGAACTGGAAAACAAACAGGAAGACATTTGGTTTAATTTTTCTTATTTTTTAATGAATGGTCAATGAGTTTCCTGTTGAACTACTCTCATCCTGTTTGGTTGTTACTCGTGTTTTCAGCATTTGCTCTCCAGTGTCTTACCAAGAAGGTCATTCTGAGGCATCCACTTATATAGCTTAGTATTAGGACCTAGGGTATCTGGTTCCTTTCCATCGAATCTCCAAAGAACCTATTAGGTAAAAACAAAATATCTGTTTCATGAGTTGAATTTCAAATTAGAACATGTTAGAATTCTACAGAGGTTGAGAGGTTCCCTAGTTAAATGCCTTCCACAGGAAAGACAAGGAAAGGAAGACAAGAGATATCAAGGATGAGAACTGCTAAAATGTTGAGTAAGTATAATACTAACATTTGCAGTACTATTTTTATATTCAACCAGGTGTGAAATAATCACAATTTTCACACTTAGTGCTTTAGTCAAGTGAGATGATCAGTGACAAAGTATAATATTTAAGAAAAGGTATGCATGTGTACTTCTAGTGCAAAAAAAGAATAACATTATTAAGGATCTACACTTTTAAATACATGTATTTTCTATGTTAGTTTTATCTTCAACTTTATTTTTTAAGATGAAATGAGGTTTTACTAATATCCACTGGTTTATAATTTATTTCATTAGAATTTCACATCTTTAAATTCACAAAAAAGTAAATGCATGAAGTAAGCTATGTGTGAGAAACAAATTATACTTAGGAACTATGCCTAATGTTTTAGATTACAAATGATTAAGCCTCATTTCCAGGAAGAATTTCAGGTGACATTTTTGAAAAAGTTTGCTTGTTTACTTGAAAGAGTGATAGAGAAAAATCTTCCATCCACTGGTTCACTGCCCAGTGCCCACAACAGCTAGGGTGAGGCCGTACAAGCTATAAACTCCACCTGGGAGAGCCCTGTGGGTTTCAGGGATAAGGAGTATATATACCACGACCTGCCTCTCAGGACACAGATGTGCAGGAAAGTGAATCGGAAGCAGAGGTGACACTTCATCCCAAAGTCTCCGATATGGAGTGTGAACATCCCAAGCAGTAGCTTATCAGCTGCACCACAACACCTGCCACTCAAGTGCCATGTTTGAAATAAACACCAGTATTATCACTGTTTCTAGTATTTGAAAGTCTTTAGTGGTAGAAAAGAAGAGCCAGCTCATACGTAACATGGTGGCTGGAAAAGATGCGAAACTGTCAGGTTAAATTTTTGCTTAACTGACTAGAAAGGCCTCCATGATGCATTACAACACACTGACAGCCAAAGTCACTAAACGCTGTTATAGCCCCGCAGCAAAATAAGGCACTGATCTTGGAAATTATAAATTCTTCTTATAGATCAGGGTACAGTCCACAAGGATTTGGTTTCTGTTTGCTATGTGAGTGGTAAAAGTAATGTCAGGTTCTCTGCCAAAATCTAACATAGGTGATTAATAGAAACCCATATCAGATAGGAAGCTAAAAGGTTTCTAAATACTAGAAGGTCAAAGTTTTCTTGCACAGATTAGAAAATTAGTATCTATAGGGAACATTTGAACCTCTTCCCAAGGCAGGCCTGCTCCTCTGACTCCTTCTTATATTCCTTTATTGTTCCTCAGTCTGCAGGAGGTGTTAATCTAATGGGCCAGGAACACATCCTGTGGGGCCACATATTATAATGCACTGGGTCTATTTTGGGAAAACCCATCTCCCCACTTTTTCTTACATCTTCCTGCTTCAGGCACAGCCAAATCCAGCCTTAAGAGTATTCTATTTTTTTCTAAATCTGTTTGATGGAGTTGAATCCTGAGCCCAGGGTTAGTGAGCCCTGATCTTCCTTCCACTAAATAGATTACTGAACAGCACTGTGAAGGGGCCTAATGCAAAATTGGGGGGATTAAAGAGTCAGGAATTACCTGGGAATCCAAAGCTACATATTAACACTTCAGAAATTTTATCCAATCCTGCTTACTGCTGTTTTATCAGTGCAGTTAACAACTACAATTTAACTCCTTTCTGATAACACCTTTAATGCACACAGTGGCATCAAATTACAGGGCTAGAGGTTGGGGCATGGTGATTTCTGTGTCCCTGAGGGCAGTGTTGTGATGATAACGAAGCTTCCCATTGCACCTGTTAAATATATCTCTTTCTGATCAAATACTAATTCCAAAATATTTACACACATTCTGTGAAAATTTTTGCACCTGATAAGTAGAGTTTAGGTTTTTTTTTTTTTTTTTTAGGATTTATTTATTTATTGGAAAGGGAGAATAGCAGAGAGAGAGAGAGAGAGAGAGAGAGAGAAAGGGAGATATATTCCATCCATTGACTCCCTCCCCAAATGGGATAGGACAAAGTCATGAATCAGGAATTTCATCTTGGTCTCCCACCTGAGTGACAAGGGACCCAATAGTTGGACGATGTTTCCCTGCTTTCCTATGTTCTTTAGAAGGAAGCTGGATAAAAAGTGGAGTAGTTAGGGCTGAAACCAACACTCTGATTTGATAAACCAGTATGGCAGCTTAACTTGTTGTGCCACAATGCCAGCCAGTGTTTGTTGGTAAAGTGATATCTGAGATAAATCATTGCTATAAACAGTTTACCTTTCACACAGGAAGTTTCTGTAACCGGTCACTTTGCAGAGTTTGTCAGACTCACTAAGTCGCTGCCCACCCTTAGGACATTTTTTCTCACCTTTTGTGGCAGCTGGGCAAGGGCTGATGCGATCACAGTGGTCCTTTCCTCTGTCATGTTGCTGACCATGGACCCCAGGGAAAACACCACCACTCCCTCTTCCCCAGAGCTCTGCACAAAGGCTTCCATCTCCTGGGAAGAGAAAATTTGCTCCATCACAAACGTGCAGCAGCACAGCAAACAGTATTGAAATGACTAGCGCAGTCAACGAAGGAGAAAAAATGGAGTAGAAGCAGTCATTATTAGAGTGGGGACTGTGGTAAGACATATAGCTATAAAATTTTCATCTTCTCCATTTCAAAGTGTATCGGTGGTCCTATTATTTATTATCACATTGTTGTGCTACCAATGTGCCCCAATTATTTTTCTTATAAAGCCTTCATAGTTTATGTACATTTTATATGACATAGAGAATTGTAATCCATTTATATTTATTTGTCATCTGCAGAAAAAAAAGTAAGCATATTTATCTTCTTTGTCCAACTACTATCAATTACATCCCACATTTGACTGATTTAGTGTTATTAAAATTTTTTGGTGAATTACTTATAATAGTGTTATAAACACTATTTATTTCTAGTGGTTGTTTTTATAAATAGCTGCTATAAATATTGATTTTGCACATCCAAGTTATTCTTCTCTGTATAGTTTCATGTGTGGTATCTTATACAGACAAAGGCTATAAGTATTTTTAAAACTCATGATGCAATCTGTCAAATTTCTTATTTCTTTTTCTGAAAGGACAGATTAACTGAGAATTAAAGATTTTTTTAAAGATGTATTCATTTGTTTCAAAGGCAATGTGACAGAGAAGGAGGAAGAGAAAAAGAAAGAATACTTCTATTCCCTGGTTCACTCCCCAGATCACCACAACAGCCAGGGCTGAGGTCAGGAGCCAGGAATTCCATCCAGGTCTCCCATATGGGCAGCAGATCATCCTCTGCCTTCCCAGGTGCATTAGCAGGTAGCTGGATCAGAAGCAGAGGAGCCAGGACTGAAATACCAGCATTCCCATATGCCAGCATCACGGTGGTGTCTTAACCCACTGTGTCATGGCACGTGCCCAGAAAGATATTTCAAAGACTGACTTCAGAATCTTTGTGTTGGATTCAAATCTTGTCTGCACAATTGAGAAACAACAGATATTGTAAATAGTCATCAACATAATAGTGCCTCCCTTCCTCTGTTTCTCATGTCTTGTTCTTTTCCTCCTGCTACTAACACTGTCACCTTCTCTTCAGACAAATCAGGAAATTATGAGCATAGAGATGCATTGTGAAAGACTTTTGCTAATATTGCCTGAGCCTTTGTACCTGTGAAATTTACTTTAAAAAGCTGAAACTACTGGCATCCAAAGTAGGAATTGGGTATTAGCTATTTGATATTAGTTTTATATTGTTATAATAGCAGGTAGATTAAGAAGTATTTAAAAGATTGCATAATATTGCAGTAAAAATACTTGTTTTCTACGTAAATCTTTATAGTGGGATATGAATCTGAAATAGGTTAAATCCTTGTGTTTGTTTGTAAAGTATACTATTTTACTGGCTGACAAAATTTATTTCAATTACCAAGTAAAGGCTGTTTCTAGGTGAAAGTGGCAGGAATTCCTGGGTCTTCATTCCAAATGCAGTGAGCGTTTCCCTTGTCACCAACTTCTGTCAGGCATCGATGATGCTGAGACAAACGTTTCCTGAGAGAGCTTTACTGGGGTATCCAGGAGGCTGCTCTTAGACAGAAAACACGGCTCTCATAAGGTAACACCATTCTTTCATGTTTGATATAATCCTCTGGGATTGCAATGAGGAATGATGTAATGTTGTGATGGAAGCAATTAAACGTTGGAATTGGCTGCAAATATTTTTGAAGGGCACACGTGTGTATTATTGAGAAATTGTTTTCCTGTTAGGCTGGATACTGGTGAAGAGCCTCAGTGCTTATAATACAACTTTAGTCCTCATCTTGTTCATCATTTTGCCAAACTTAGATATTTACTTTTAAATGAAACTAAAGCATTTTTCTTCTCTATGACTTGGCTTAAGAATGTAATTTTATTCATTTGTAAACCACTTCCTGTTGAATGAGGCTATATCTGAAGTGTTTGCATTTTAGATGATTAATTGTACTAATAAAAACAGAAACAATCACAACGTCAATTCTGGATTACTGATTGTCACAGATATTTAATGTATTCATTTATATTTTCATTTTTACCTGACACATAAAAGCTATACTTATTCATAGCACACGTGAGATATTTTAATACTTGTAAACACTGTGCAATGTTAAAATCTTAGTAAATGTATCTATGTCTTCAAACATGTTTTTAGTGTTTTTTTGTTTTTTTTTTTTTTTTTTGGCAGGCAGAGTGGACAGTGAGAGAGAGAGACAGAGAGAAAGGTCTTCCTTTTGCCGTTGGTTCACCCTCCAATGGCCACACGGCGCACTGCAGCCGGCGCACAGCGCTGATCCAATGGCAGGAGCCAGGTGCTTCTCCTGGTCTCCCATGGGGTGCAGGGCCCAAGCACTTGGGCCATCCTCCACTGCACTCCCGGGCCACAGCAGAGAGCTGGCATGGAAGAGGGGCAACAGGGACAGAATCCGGCGCCCCGACCGGGACTAGAACCTGGTATGCTGGCGCCGCAAGGCGGAGGATTAGCCTAGTGAGCCACGGCACCGGCCTCAAACATGGTTCTATAATTTATAGTGATGCCAATAAAACTTTTCCTTTTCTTGCTGGTCTGTGATCTCTACTCTATGTTCTGTTAGTATTGTGGACCTCCTTTTTCAAAATATTTTCCCACTATTTTTAATTTGTTTTATCCTTCTAAATAAGAAAAGTCAGGTGTCCAGAAGAGTGGGAACCTTTTGTGCCTTCCCTTTGTTTCCTATGTCCCGGCACTTTGTCTCTTTTGATATCCAAGGCTCTCTGTGAATATACTTTGAATGAAATGTTGATTTTTATATGTCAAATAATGAAGACCTTAATTTAACTGGCTCTGTTGTCAAATTCTTCCACATATTCTGTTTTATTCTACAATGGTAATAAGGCCTGGATGTATGTGTTGGTATAGAAATACACAAGGGGACTTCAAAAAGTTCATGGACAATGCATATTATCTTTTAATTCAAAATTTCCATATACTTTTTGATGTCCTCTTAAATAAGTTTCTGGCTGGTGTGGCATTTTATCCCAGATCCAATATCTCTTCCTGTGAGTCAGATGTGCTAAATGAAGAATGGAGAGTCATTTGTACTGAAAAAGCAAAGCAAAATAAGAAAATGAATAGTAACACATTTACCTTAGGCAGAGGTTTGGCAGGTTTGCATTGGAGCCCTCCGACAAATTCAAAATTTGGCAGTAGTGGGCGAGGAAACTCCAAATCCCAGTAGCTTCGAATGAGCCAAATATCAGCTTTCCCCACTAGCTCATAGAAACTAACAGGTCTTCCTGAGCAGAGAAAAAATGAAGAAAAGATAAGATAATGAGATAATTGTTGCATGAAGTGTACCATGTAATTTCCTGGGAGAGGTTAGAATGATGCAGTTAATGATGTAGAAAGTGTCTTCATAGAGATAAAACATTTTTATTTTTATTTTTTTAAAGATTTATTTTATTTATTTGAAAGAAAGCGTTACAGAGAGAGGTAGAGATGGAGAGAGAGGTCTTACATCTGCTGGTTCACTCCCCAGATGGCCACAACTGCCAGAGCTGCACCTATCCGAAGCCAGGAGCCAGGAGCTTCTTCTGGGTCTCTCAGGTGCATGCAGGGGCCCAAGGACTTAGGCCATCTTCTACTGCTTTCCCAGGCCATAGCAGAGAGCTGGATTAGAAGAGGAGCAGTCGGGACAGGAACCGGCACCCATATGGGATGCTGGCACTTCAGGCCAGGGCTTTAACCCACTGCGCCACAGCACCAGCCGCAAACATTTTTATTTATGTATAATTTACATGTATAATGTGTACATTGTTCACATGTTACAAATATTTGCAAAATGCAATGTAAGGGGACACTCTCTAATATCACTTGAGCATATTACCAATCATAGTCACTAAAATAGTCTATCATAGGGGCCAGCATTTTGACACAGTCCATTAAGCCACTGCTTGCTACACCAGCATCTGATATTGGAGTATCAGTTTGAGTCTCATATTCTGTGCTTCTGATCCAAGTCTCTGCTAATGTGACTGCTTGGACCAAGTAGGCCTCCACCATCCATGTGGGAGACCAAAAAGTTGTTCCAGACTTCTGGCTTCAACCTGGCCTAGAGTAAGCCATTTATGGCCATTCATGTAGTGATTCAGCAAATGGAAGATAATGCTATCTCCCTGTAGGCAGGGACACGCGTGTGTGTGTGTATGTGTGTGTGTGTCCCTCTGTTTCTCTTCCTTCCATGTAAATAAATCAATCTTTAAAAATAGGCCACTATAGAATGAAACAAGCAACTGTTTTCTGTATAAAGTTACAAAAGCAATGGATGGAAATATAAATAATTATTTTAGCTTCACAATCAAGTAATACTACCATAATCATAGCGCTTTTCCAGGAATATTCAGTCCAGTTTCCACAATTTAACAAGCTATCCCTAATCCTTGATTTTTCAGGTGAACTGTGAATTCTTTGAATGTGGTTGAATTTCATCTGCTGCTTTTTGCTTTGCCTTCAAACTTAGCATTTATTTACATAGAAATACTTAACAGATACTACATAATTTTTTAAATTATAGAAAAATATTTTATTCACCTTTATTTGGATCACTTTTGTAAAAAGTGGAGAAACATAATTTAAAAATATAGACTAATTATATATATATATATGCCTATATTTCCAAAGATTTTAAGCACTACACAGACTTAAAGAAGGAATGTAGGAACATTAAAAACCTCAATGTATAGGTTTTTGTGTATGGCATATTACTAAGTAGCTCTCACCTGAAAAGGCATCTTTTAGGTAATACAGATAATATGTTAATTTTAAGAAGGAGACAGATTTAAACAAGGAACAATTATTTTCTCAGTGGCACACTGATAGTTGTTCTAGAAACATGCCTCAATGTACATGATTACATTCATCAACATATTAGAGAATTGTCTACAACATTGTACAACATGAATAAAATAGAATACAATAGACATGTAGTTGCTTATAAAAATCCACACTACTGCATTTGTCATTGTGTGACTTTATAGAATGTCCTTTCTTAACGACAAGCCGCTAGCTTCTCATTGACCCTGTAAAGTAACCCTTTCTATAAATTTGGAAGATTGTTTGGCTTTGTTATAGTTTCAATTCATATTTTACATATAAAAGACTACTTCCTCTGATTTTACATTCATACATACTCATCTTCAACATCAAAGGTATGTTAGGGCTTCAAATCAAAAATTAAAAGCATTTCTTACCTAGTACTTCACTGTAGAATTGATCCCACCTCTTCACGTTAAATGTTTGGAACCAAAAGTCAAAATAAAGCATCCATAGCACATTTTTTACCCTTTCTGTAAATGTCATTTGACCACTTATAACAGATGTAATAGCAGGCACATAGGAAGGAGGAAACAGAAGTCCTCCACTATACTTTTCATACGTGTAGCCAGGAGTGAAGCGAAGACTGTACACAAGGGGTATTTTCAGAAACTCAGCCAGCAGCTCACCACAGGGAGCAATGGCGTCTGCAAAAACCACATCAAACTTTGATTCTTGCAGTTTTGTCATGAGTTTCTTGTTTAAAACTAGGTCTTTGCAAAAATTCTCATAAATTTCAGAATATTGTAAAAAGAATTTTTGCCATAGTGGAAAATATTCCCAATATTTTTCTCTTGACACATCATTTATCAATATATTGACCCAGTTTGTGAAAAAGACGTCCAGTTCTTCTTGAGTGGAAGTTGTAGGAAAAGTTTCAAATTTAATTCCAGATTGTTTCTTGTGATCAATTAAAACAGAAGCTGAAGATCTCAGAACAGTGATTTCATGACCCTTCTGGACAAGTTCATCCAGGATTACCTTCATATTCATCCAATGACTGAATTCCATAGGCCACACCAGCACTTTCCCACAACTCCCAGAGCTGAAGCAACAGCTCAGCTGTAGCAGCAGTAGCAGAACTGAAACAGATTTCACAGACATCCTGGTGAAATGTGATGCTTCCTCTCCATAAGCTGTCTCTTTCTGTCACTCTTCGTGCTATACTCCAGAAGAATTGTATCAAGTAGTTAAAATATAACTTATATTGATCAAATTAAATACATCATATAAACAAACAGATTTTGTGGACTGGAATTGCAGGTGGAAAAAGCAACATAACTAATCTAATGCTTGTATGAGTGCTTTTAGTGTCTTTTTTAAAAGATTTTATTTATTTACTTGAAAGTCAGAGTTAAGGAGAAACAGAGGCAGAGAGAGAGAGAGCGAGAGAGATAGGAGAGGGAGGGAGAGAGAGAGAGAGAGAGAGAGAGAGAGAGAGAGAGAGAGAGAGAGAAAGTAGAAAGAGAAGTCTTTCATCTGTTGTTTTATTCCCCTAGATGGCTGCAATGGCAGGAGCTGAGCCAACGGGGATGCAGGGGCCTAAGGACTTGGGGCATCTTCCACGGCTTTCCCAGGCCAGTAGCAGGGAGCTGGATCGGAAATGGAGCAGCTGGGACTCAAACTGGCACCCATATGAGATGCCGGCACTGCAGATGGTGGCTTTATTTTCTACACCGCAGTGCTGGCCCCTTTAGGGTCTCTTTTATGAATAAATATTTTGACCTAGTTTGGAGTCTATGACTTACATAAGTAATTTAACTATGCTTCTTCATAAGAGATTATAGAGCAATGCCAAGAGCAGTTGCAAGGAGACCTGTGTCTATAGTCTCTCTGACACAGAACCAGCAATAAAGTCATTCATTATATAACTGACCTGCATTTCTTGTATAGCATGGCTCCAGGGATTTTTTTTTTCATAAGAATGTAGGTAAACTATAACTCCTATATATACAGGTCAATTCAAAGTTTACAATTCAGGGTTTTACAGTATACTTACGCAAATGTGTAGCTACCACCACCATTAATTTTTTAGCATTTCGTTACTGTAAAAAAATCTTATACCCTTTATCCCTTGTGCTTGTAAACACCAATTTCCTATTCCTCCAGTACTAAGAAAGTACTAATTTACTTTGTGTCATCTCAGTATGCCTCTTGTAATTTCTTGATAACGGAATCACAGTGAACTTGGGGCAGGGACAGTGACACACATCTCTGATTGTGATTCTTGAGGAGTGAGTCTCTGGCTTCTATTCTTAGTTTGCTACTCCCACTGTGTAACTGCCAAACTATGAATGAAGTGGGCAATGACTAGCCAGTAATTGGATTCTCAGGGTGCTGTGTCTGAATAGAACCTCTGAATTATGACTGTGGCTGAATGGGAGAAGGGAGACTGTTCTGTCTCCTCTTTGGAGCTGTGGGGGAAGTAGCCTTGTGGTCAAATCTAGTCTTATCTATAATAGAATTGCTTTGATTTGGCTAGGAGGGGTGACTCAGAGCAGGTCCTGTATGAATGTCACATGCTCTCACTGCATTTTACAAACTTTGGGATAAATGGTTCTCTTTCAACTGTGAGCCATGGGCTGAGGAAGTCCAGTGGTCTAGTCCACACCTGCATTGCAGTGTCACTGGTCTCAAAAAGGGGCAGAGGAACAGGTCATAGACTAAGTGCCACAGGCTTTGGCTGTTTTCACCAAGAAGTTGATATATGGTTTTTATTTTTCTCTAGCATGTCCTTAGGAAAATTCCATGGACTATTAAGTAACTGTGTCTTTGAATAATTGAGATTAATTATTTCTGTTTCACCTGGGAGCTGGTCCACTGAAATACTCATGCTGTCATGTGAGAAGTAATTTCAAGAATGGGGGCTTTTATGAGTACTTAAATTTTTTAAAAGATTTATTTATTTATTTGAAAGAGTTACACACAGAGAGAAGGAGAGGCAGAGAGAGATAGAGAGGTCTTCCATCCTCTGGTTCACTCCCCAATTGGCCTCATTGGCTGGAGCTGCGCCAATCCAAAGCCAGGAGCAAGGAGTCACTTCCCAGCCTCCCACGCAGGTGTAAGGGCCCAAGGAATTGGGCTATTTTCCACTGCTTTCCCAGGCCATAGCAGGGAGCTGGATCAGAAGTGGAGCAGCCAGGTCTTGAACCGGCTCCCATATGGGATGCCAGGCTGTAGGCCAGGGCGTTAACCCACTGTACCACAGCACCAGCCCCTGACTACTTAAATTTTTTGTATTCATTGTAATGGATTCATTCAAAGATATTTAATATAGAAAAATACATACACCATGGCTCACTTGGTTAATCTTCCACCTGTGGCACTGGCATCCCATATGGGCACCAAATTCTAGTCCAGGTTGTTCCTCTTCCAGTCCAGCTCTCTGTTGTGGCCAAGGAGGACAGTGGAGGATGGCCCAAGTCCTTGGGCTCCTGCACCCACATGGGAGACCAGGAAGAAGCACCTGGCTCCTGGCTTTGGATCGGCACAGCACCGGCCGTAGCAGCCATTTGGGGAGTGAACCAACAGAAGGAAGTCCTTTTTCTCTGTCTCTCTCTCTCATTGTCTAACTCTGTCAAATAAAAAAAATAAATAAAAATAAAAAAAGAAGTCCTAATTGGTTTGAATGGATAGTAGGGCTGATACCCTGTAAGTTCAAGCATTCTAATAATACCTAATGATTGATTATATAATAACAAATCTTAGAACATCTTCTTTTAATTCAATGTGTCTATTACTTTTTTTTTTCTTTTTTCTTTTTTTTTTTTTTTTACAGGCAGAGTGGACAGTGAGAGAGAGAGACAGAGAGAAAGGTCTTCTTTTGCCATTGGTTCACCCTCCAATAGCCGATGCGGCCGGCGCACCGCGCTGATCCGAAGGCAGAAGCCATGTGCTTCTCCTGGTCTCCCATGGGGTGCAGGACCCAAGCACCTGCGCCGTCCTCCACTGCACTCCCGGGCCACAGCAGAGAGCTGGCCTGGAAGAGGGGCAACCGGGACAGAATCCAGCACCCCGACCGGGACTAGAACCTGGTGTGCCGGCGCGACAAGGTGGAGGATTAGACTATTGAGCCGCGGCGCCGGCCTACAATTTGTCTATTTCAATAACTAATTTTATTTTGATTCAATAAGCAAAGATATACAATGTCCATTAATTTTATGCATTATAGCATGCTGATGAATTATTAAGACAAAGTGTATGCAACTACATTTGGACAATGTTACTGCACACATCCAATTTCCCATTTCACAATTTTGAAAGCAATGTGTATAGTGTAGATATTTCTAGGTTTTCTATTTCTTACTTTAAGGTCAAGTTGTTATGCAGATTAAAACTGAGTGAGACTACAATAGGGCAATGATTAATGAAAAATAGGAATATGTTTATACAAAATAAGGAAACACTTGCTCTGTTTATTCATCAACTGAATTGCTACCATTTAGGAAAATGTAAATTAAATGCAGCATACATACTATTCTGTTTAATGTGATGTTAATGTTAAATCTATATTTTTATAGATTTATTTATTTATCTGATAGAGTTACAGATAGAGAGGGAAAAAGAGAGAGATCTTTCATCCACTGGTTCACTCTCCAAATGGCCGTAATGGCTGGAGCTGGGCCAGTCCAAAGCCAGGAACCAGAAGCTCCTCCTGGTCCCCCTTTATGAGTTCAGGAGCCCAAGACTTGGGCCAGCCTCCAAAGCTTTCCCAGGCACATTAGCAAGGAGCTGGTTCAGAAGTGTAGCAGCCCAGACTTGAACTGGTGCTCATATGGGATACTGACACTGCTTACAGTGGCCCCTAAATCCATAAATTTATCATGGAACATATTTGATTAGGTTTTTACATGACTAAAAATGTATATAGAGATTAACACAAAATAATATATTTGTGTTATGTAAATAACTCATTTCAATGTGTATTAAAAATTCTATTTTTTTAACTTTTATTTAGCAAATATAAATTTCCAAAGTACAGCATATGGATTACAATGGCTTTTCCCCCCCATAACTTCCTCCCACCCGCAACCCTCCCAACTCCCGTTCCCTCTCCTATTCCATTCACATCAAGATTCATTTTCAATTATCTTTATGTACAGAAGATCAATTTAGTATATATTAAGTAAAGATTTCAACAGTTTGCACCCACACAGAACATAAAGTGAAAAATACTGTTTGAGTACTAGTCATAGCACTAATTCACATTGAACAACACATTAAGGACAGAGAGCCTACATGAGGAGTAAGTGCACAGTGTCTCCTGTTGTTGACTTAACAAATTGACACTCTTATTTATGGCGTCAGTAATCACCCTAGGCTCTTGTCATGAGCTGCCAAGGCTATGGAAGCCTTTTGAGTTCGCCGACTTTGATCTTATTTAGACAAGGTCATAGTCAAAGTGGGGGTTCACTCCTCCCTTCAGAGAAAGGTACCTCCTTCGTTGATGGCCTGTTCTTTCTACTGGGATCTCACTTGCAGAGATCTTTCATTTAGGCCCCCCCCTTCTTTTATTTTTCCAGAATGTCTTGGCTTTCCATGCCTAAAATACTCTCATGGGCTCTTCAGCATTTAGAGTAAAACAAACCCCAAATGATAAAATATTCATGATGACACCCAATTTCCTTTTTATCCAGTGTTTCAAAGATATTGAGGTTTTATTCTATTATAAATAAAACTATTGACCATTAAAAATTAAGGCCTAAATAAGTTGGCAAGAACATTTGAAATTAATTTTTCAAAAGCTTGAAACATAAATGATGAACTCTACTCATCATGATGTGCAGTTGTGCCCTAAAACCTGTTTCTCCTGTGAAGACTGCTGCAGTGAGCATCAGTTCAGATGCCTCTTTGGCATGAAGAATTCAAGTCCTTCAAATCCATATCCAAAAATGGGAATCCTGGATAAAAAGCTACCTCTATTTTTTCTTATTTTTGAGAATTACAGTACTATTTTCAGTAATGGCTCTACTAATTTAAATTCTCATCAACATTGTGCAAGCGTTCCCTTTTTTAAACATACTCTCATATAATTATCATTTTTTTGATAAAAGTCATTATGACATTTAGGAGGCAATATCTTATTTTTGTTTCAGTTGGCATATCTCTGTTGGTTAGTTTTGTCGGCCATATTTTCATATATCTGTTGGAACTTTCCATG